TAGACAGACAGTTCGGGTCTGCCTGACTCTGGATCCTCTCCATGACACAGCACTCCTTCCTCAGATGCAATTGGAACTCTAGATCTGCTCTTTAGGCCATCACTCTGTCATTTTTGTGAACCTCCTGTTTCCCATAGACGTCTTCTCTTTAGACTTCCCCCTTCAGAGTCAGGAATAAATAAATAGTGGCCCAGAGCCCAGAGATGGCACTATCTTTTTCTGACCACAACTGTGGTCAGAGACCAGTGGAGTATCTTAGATGGCTGCTCACAGGCTTTTAAGACCCCAGACCCTACTCACCAAGGTAGAATGTAGAACACTGTCTTTATAAACTATGTTATGCCAGTTGAGCTAGATGTTCTCCAAGACCATGGTCCCCACAGCTGGAGGATTTGATTTTGGATAGGAGCATCCATAGTAACTAGACAGAAAGTAGAAATAAAAGTGCAAATGCAGATAGGTGGGTAGATGTTGTTGTACATACTTGTGGAAGTTCTCTTCTTGCCTCTATGTTTCCAGGGAAGAAAAAGCAATGCCTTCTATCTCTGAGAGTGATGATAGGAAAGAAAGTACTGGAAGTTTGAGGAGAGAAGAAAAGGTATAACATTGTCTTCTAAAGAGTGGGAGAGTAAATGGAAAGGGAAATGTACTATAATTGCCATGTAACACAAAAAGTTAGGTGAGCATATCTCCCAATTTGCTCACGAAGGTTCCAATTTATATCTGTTGTCTATATGTAATGGAGCCCTGATTCCACAATAGTTAAGAGCTTGACTGCTAACCAAAAGATTAGTAGTTCGAATCCACAAGTCACTCCTTGGAAACCCTATGGAGGCAGTTCTACTCTGTCCTATAGGGTCTCTACAAGTCGACATCAACTCGACGGCAAAGGATTTTGTTTTGTGTAATTACCACTAGTTCCTGCCTTTCATTCTCAAATTATATAAGTCTCCTAACTAATTTTTTTTTTTAATTTAGCAATCTTAAATTTAAAATTAGGTGAGTCAGCACATTTATAACTTTTTACCCCATGGCTTCAGGTACAAGATGGGGGGAGAGTTACATTTAAATAGGGCTGCAGTGTTGGGGAAAAAGCACAGTGTGTGTATGTGTGTGTGTGTGTGTGTGTGTGTGTGTGTATTAGATGGGGAGAGAGAGAAAAAAGAGAAATTTGGGTTGTATTAAAGAGTGATTCTAAAAATGGACCATGAAATTAAAGCTAAAGAAAGAAATTAAGAAATGAGGAAACGTGAAAAGTTGGTTGTATCTGTTGATTATCAATGCCTTGGAATTCAAGGATTGTTGAATTGGGAAGTGAAGAAGAAAAACAGGAGATGGTGTAAGGGACTGGAATGTCTAAAACTGTGCTTACAAATAACTTGCAAATATTTGTGTGAATACAAATTCTAAGGTATTTCCAAGGAATTAAGTAGATGAGGCATTTGGAGGAAAGGTGAGACTACTAAGAATCCAATGATTCCCGTTATCGACTGCTGCATAACAATTACTCCAAAACTTACTCATTTCAAACAACCATTTAGTATTATTTCTTATGGTTCTGTAGATTTACTGAAATCAGCTGGGCAGTTCTCACTCGAGGTCTCTCTATCTCTCTCTTTCTCTCTCTCTCTGTCATGTAGCTGCAATTAGATTTTGATGGAGTTGTAGTCATCTCTAACTAGAGTTGGTGCAGTTGATTCTGGATGTTATCTAGGAGTTCAGCCAGAGCTGTCAGCTGCATGACCTCTCCATATGGCTTGAGATTCTCACAGCATGGTGGCTATGTTCTAGAGAGAGTGTCCAAAAAGCAAATATTCCAAGACATCGATGGAGAAGCTGTATGGTTTCTTATAACCTAACATTGAATGCCCCAAAATGTCATATCTACTGCATTCTATTTTTCAAGCTAGTCCCTAAGGCCAGATACAAGGGGAGGGAGATTAGATTGTGACACTTGGGGTAGGGACAAAGCCATATCGCAGAAGAGGGATGCAAGATACAGTTTTGTGCATCTTTGGAAAATAAAATCTGCAACCTTGTATCCTCTGACCATATTAATGTACATGCAAAATGCATTCATTCCATTCCCTTAGACCCCCAAAATTTTTATTCCCATTATGGGATCAGTTCAGAGTACAGGATCTTATCCTCTAAATCAGGTCAAAGTATGAATGAGGTTCCTTGAGTACAGTTCCTTGTATGTGGCTCTTTGAGTGCAATTCCTCTAAATTTGAAGACATGTGAACTAAAAAGATGATTATCTGACCGCTACACATCCAATGAGGAGACCTGTTGGTGCACTGGTTAAAGCATTCAGCTGCTAACCAAAAGGTTGGCGGTTCAAACCCGTCAACTGCTCCACAAGAGAAAGATGTAGCAGTCTGCTTCCATAAAGATTTACAGCCCTGGAAACCCTATGGGGCAGTTCTACCCTCTCTTATAATGTTATTACCAGTTGGAATCGACGTGATAGCAGTGTGTATATGGGTACACATCCAATATGCAATGGTTATGCAGAGATAAGGTAACTGCAGTAGTTTCTCATATTCAATATGCAATGGTTATACATAGATAAGATAGCTGCAGTAGTTTCTCATATTCAAAAGTGGGAGAGGCATATAGCAGTCAATGGTCTATTACAGTTCCAAAATCCAGCTGGGGATATATCACTGGGTTCTTAATAAGGACCGGATCCAGCTTCCTGGGAATGATTCTCCATGACTCATGGCTAAACCCCTGGACAATCAGGTTTATAGTCTATGTTATCCTTGCTTTTCAATGAGAAATGACTTGTGTTTATAGCTCAGCGGTTTTCTCAGCTTGCTTCCTACCTAAAGGAAGTTGAGGACCCAAAGACTTCTTTTATTTTTGCCCTGGGAATCCTGGGTGGCACAAATGGTTAAGTGCTAGACTACTGACTGAAAGGCTGGTGGTTCAAACCCATCCAGAGGCACCTCAGAAGTAAGATCTGGTGATCTGTTTCTAAAAAGGTCATAGCATTGAAAACCCTGTGGAGTAGTTCTACTCTGCACATATGAGGTCACCATGAGTCAGAATCAACTCAATGGCAACTAACTGTCCTGTTTGGCCCAAGCTGATGGTGCTTGCACATTTCCTTTTAAAACATTGTGAGTTTTCTATGAATATTTTACGGTTCGCTCCATTAGACAAAAATCACTCTCACGAATATCTTCAGGACTGGTCTCTTACTGATTTTGACTCAGAGTTAGGGTGCTCTAGTAAATACCCTTAAAATTCTTGAAGCTTATTTGTCTAATTGAAAATGCTTATACAGGACATCTTTAAATATTTCTCTATTGTTAACAAAGAGTCTTACAGCTTACTTTGAGAGCCTTTTACCTTCTGGGGAGGTTGGGAATAAAACTCAACTTTATATTTGAATCCAGCCAAACTTGACTCTTGTATTTTCTCTAAATTCTGCTTAGACACTGAACAATTTCATGTCCTCTCCATGTCACTTGGGATTCTCACAGCATGTTGTTGTTGTGCCATCAACTTGGTTCCGACTCATAGTGACCCTGTATTCAAAGAATGAAGCACTGCCGGGTCCTGCGCCATTCTCACAATCGTTATCCTTGAGCCCATTGTTGAAGCCACAGCATAGTGGCTGGATTCTGAGAGGGAGTGCAGCAAGATCAAGTATTTCAAGAGACACAGGAAGAAATCTTGTGGCTCAGCGGTTAAGCGTGTGGCTGCTAACCAAAGATTGGTGGTTAGAACCCACCAGCTGCTCCATTGAAGAAAGATATGGCAGTCTGTTTCAGTAAAGATTACAGCCTTGGAAACCCTATAGGGCAGTTCTACTCTGTCTTATATGGTCACTATGAGTCAGAATCAACTCAACAGCAATGGGATGGGAGCCTTGGAAACTTCCAATTGTCACTTCCACTGCATTCTATTTGTCAAGCAATCCCTAAGTCCAGCCCAGATTCAAGAGAAGGGGAATTAGATGCCAACTGTTAATGTGGGAATGGCAAGTTCACACTGCAGAAAAAGCAAGGGAAATGGAAGATATTGCTGTGGCGTCTTTGGAAAATACAATCTACCACTCAAGTTACTAAAGGATGACCTATGTGTACATTAAAATCACAAAGAATAATGACAAAAGTAATTTTGGAGAAAATTACATTGAGACAGAAGCTAAAAATCTTCAAGAAGGAAGAATACCCAGGCTGAAGTTGACTGTACAAGTAGAGGTAATTGATAATGTATTTTGATGATATGTGATTTAAAGTTGGGAAGTTTTAGGATAAATAACACTACTCCAGAAATAGTGATGTGGAGCATACAGGATGGTTATGTTTACTTCCAGACACACAAAATACAAGATGTGAAAGAAGCCACGATTTCTTCAGTATCAGAATCACCTAGAGAATAAAGAACACAGACGTCCATTGAAGTAGACTAGAGCCTACTATATTACTTCGTATTTAGGATAGTAAGGGGACTTCTAATTTTACCAAGATCCTCAGATGATTCTGATACCCACCAAAGTCTGATTGCCACTGTTTTAGATGGTTTATTTCCCTCAGGGTTCTTAAAAGAGGGTAATCATTTTCTGTTAGCTTTACTGACTCTCATCTGGAAAGTACCCTACAAAGGTATTCCAAATTCCTAGGCCTTTACTCTTCCCCTTTAACCAGTTTATAAGAATAATATTCTATTCATATTATGTATGATCAACAGCCTATCCCATAAATCTTGGAAATCTCATGTCAAAATGAGATAGAAATCTTTTGGTCTGTCTTTTCAAGTAGACAAGTTGTCTTCAACTTTTTTTCCCCCTTTTTGTTTTTGCCCCTTTTGACATCTACCTGCTTATCTTGTCTCACAGATTCCAAAAAACTATAAAAGATTTCTGAGATTTCATGAAAATTTAAGTCAATATTAAAGAGATTCCAGCTTTTTTTTTTTTTTGAGGGAAATACTCCAAAATCAGTATGGTTACCTGTTTTATTACTCAAGCTCTTAGCTTCATGTCACTGGGTCCCTTTGGGGAAGAATGGGAGGATGATCTTATCATGAATCTGCTTGGCCTTCATTCCATAGATAATTGGATTGAGTGCAGGCAGGATGGCTACATAGAGGTTGGCAAACATTATATGGAAAGAGTGAGGAATATTGTTATCAAATCGGTGGGTGAGGACAGAGAACATGGCTGGCGTGTAAAATATAAGGAGGACACAAATATGGGAACCACATGTGCTGAGGGCTTTCTGGTGGGCATTCCAGGATGAGAGGTAAAAGACAGCACAGAGAATGAGAGTGTAGGAGATGCCAATGAGGATCAGGTCTGAGGTGACAGTCATTACAGGCACAGCAAGGCCATACCAGATGTTGATGGAGATGTCTGCACAGGAGAGCTGGGCAACGCCTATGTGCTCACAGTATGTGTGGGGTATAATGAGTGTTTGGCAGAAGGGAAGTCACTTTAATAGGAACACACATGGAAAGATGATACAAAAGCTCCTGCTGATAATACCTATCACAATCTTAGTAATAATCTGACGAGTGAGAATAGTGGTGTATCTTAGCGGGAAGCAAATGGCAACATAACGATCAAATGCCATGGCCAGCAGAATTGCAGAATCCATGGCAAAGCTGTAGTGGAGGAAAAACATCTGAGTAAGGCATTCAGGAAAGGTGATTTCCTGAGGACCTAGCCAGAAGATGCTTAGTATTTTGGGTACACGTGTATTAGACAGAATGAGATCAGTAGCAGCCAACATGGAGAGGAAAAAGAACATGGGCTCATGGAAGCTGTGCTCCATGGAGATAAGGTAGAGAAGGACACTGTTGCCTGTAAGGGCTAAGAGGTAGATAATGAAGAAGGGAATCCTGATCCAGACATGGAACTGCTCTAGCCCTGGGATTCCCAGTAGGATGAATGGGCCTGGATTGAAGCTGCTCAAGTTGAACGCAGCCATCATGGTCTCAAATGGGATGCGTCTCATAAACTGAAAATAAAAATTTATGAATAATTGTTACAATGATCTGCAGACATTCCCCTCTGAGCCTTCTCACCTCACTTTCAGCTCTAGAAAATCATAAAGGATCCCCCTCTCTCCTTTTTATTAATAAATATCTGTCAAATGTTCAGAAATAAATTTAAATCATAATAGAAGTACTATTGAAATGTTTTACCAGAAGTAAAAGTCATATAACTTAGAATTATACTTACCACCAACCCAGGAGGCCTCCTAAGAAAATATGTGAGCAAAACAGCATCCGGCAGAGGAACACTGTATTAGCAGTCAGGTCTCTGGAAGAAAGTTCAGTGTGAAATCCCCACCTTGGTGAACTGGAATACAATTGCATAGGCTTACAAAGTGCCTAACAAAGGCAGGCTCAATGTCAGAAACCTAAGCAAACCATGCTGTCTCTTTTCTCCTTTACTCCTCTTCCCACACTAAAACATCTGTTCAGCTTCTCATCAGTCCTAAGGAAAAGTTCACCAAGGTAAAGAGAAGACATGGAATATTTCTCCCTAAAATCTAAGATTGAGGTGGTTAATCTGCTCCTTCAGATATTCTTAGCTTGGAAAAGCTTTCAAGAAAGGAAGCCTATATAATTTACTATATCAGATTTGTCTCATAGAAAGAAGATAGAACCCTGTGCCCAAACCTCAAAGATGACAAATCCCAACACAGGGAGCCCAATCTCCTGGAAACTTTCTACAACAGTATTCTTTCCCCCGGCCTAGCCACATAATGACTAATTCTTGTGACATTTCATTGAAATATTTGAACCAGTTTTCCAAAAGTCTTCTTTTTTGTGACATGATACACAACTCTTTTTCTCAAACCAAAGTAATTACTCATTTTTTCTACCAGTCCCTTGATTATTGGAATTCTGTAGTGCTCTATCCATGCCCACTGCTTTCTCAATCAACAAATTCCATCTGGTTGATCTCCACAAATGCTACTGCTGGAACTGTCACCCTTATGCTGAAGATCCTGAAGTTTATAATCTTTAAGATACTTCTTACTCCTCAGCTCCAGGACTAGTTATCTTTATGCTTGTCATCTTTACATGGAAATCTCATAGATGCATCCAGCTTAGCATGTTCCAAACTAAACCATTTCTCTTTCCTTGGCTCAAAACTTGTTTTTTCCACAGTGTTTTGTAACTTAGCAAGTGATAATACAACACACACAATTTCTCAAGAAACCTTGAAGCGATGCTAATTACAACTCCCTCACACATAACTATCCTTCTTATCTTCTAAACAAGCACCACACTGAAGTTATTCATTCTCTAAATTTTTCTGTATTACATCCACTTTTTGCTACACCTATTGTCTGCTCTATCCTACATACCATCATCTCTCACCAAGACCTCTACAGAAAATCTCCTAACTCAAACATATCTATTTTCTTTGAACAATTTAAAAGTTCAAATTTAAAAGGAAAAAAAAACAAATAATGTACAAAAAATGAGAAGAATATTTTTTTAAATATCAGTTAATGCATTCACTTAATGGTTTACCTACAATTAAGACTGAATCTGGAGACTCAGTCTTCCTGGAAAATGAAAGATGTGAAGTGTGGTCTATCCCAATCAGAGAGAAAAAAGAAGTGGAAAACCTATCACTTCCATATGGAAGGATCATGGAAAGGAGGGGAGACCTTGCTAGGGAGAGGAGAACAGGTGCTGAGGCCTTAATTCTTAGAGAAAATATTCATGTGTATTTAGGTGGAGATTGATGTAGAGACCTTCAGAGAGTTGTGGAGTAACCGTATAACAGCCAAGGTATTGTCCTTGTCCTTGAAAGCAATGACCTGTTTCCTTGAGAAGAGCCTAGGGTAGTCTAAAAGGCACTAAGAAATTCAGGACATTTGATTTTGGGTCATATCTAATATGGGTTGAGAAGTAACAGTTATATGGTAGCAAAGGTGTGTGCTACAAAATGTAAACTGAAATGTAACACGTTCCCAATAATCTGTACATATCAGGGAATCCAGGACTTCTCATGTGCTCTGATGAGAAGACATAGGGATGCTGACCAGGTCAGGAACAAGAAGCTGCTGAGACTGGGATCTCTAAGATAGGAAGAAATGTCAAGGCTGATAGTCAGCAGCAGTGGGTATCATCTATGCTCACATCTAGGTAAGGTCCATTTCATTACCAGAAATTCAGTTAGAGCAGAGTTAATACTAGGGAAGCCTCTACTAGGGTTCAGGATACAGAATCCAAGGCTCAGTCTTCCCTACCACACAATTTTCTGTAAGCTACTTTCCCCACAGCCTGTATCCCCTACCACATACACATGCAGATTTCTTCTACTGGAAGAAAGAGAAGAGCAAGGAAATTAAAAAGCACTACAAACAGAGAATAATTAAACAAGAGACAGTAAATTCTGTGGCAATTTTCAATACACCACCAACTAAAGTCTACTCCAAATGAAAAATATATAATCCCATTAATATCTATTAAAGTGTTCTTACAGATCACTAAGGCAAAGTCCTTTGATCCAGTAGAAAAACTGGCAATTGGTATGAACAAGCAAGTCATATAAAATATTATTTTTTAATAAATATATATATAACATTCCCAATCTCATAAATAATTACATTTAATATAAAACACAAATGAGATGCATTATTTATCAGATTGGCAAAAACTTAAAAAGATTGATAACCAATTCTGTGAAGGGTTGGAGGAAATAAGAACTGTTACAACTATTTTAGAAGCATTTACTGTATAATGTTCTTAGAGTCTAATTAGGCAATATGCATCCAAATGCAAAATGGACATACCCATTGCCCAGCGGGTCCATATCTAGAAAATTCTCCAAATACACAGTTATACAGATGAACAAAGAGATAGAATATACACTACAGTAACATTTATAATATTGAAAAGCTGGTACCAGTTTAAATTTTACTAAAGGAAATGGTTTTAAATTTGTAGTATGTCCATACAATGGAAAGTATGCAGCCATTAAAAAGAGTGAGGTAAATCTATATGTGTGGGAATCAAAAGATGCCAAAATATATATGTAAAGTGAAAAAAAAAGTAAATTACCGTACATTGTTAGTATATGCAATTAAGGTTGATTTCATATTCATACAGGTATTTGCATAAAAATACTGGAAGAGTACACACTATTAAAAGCAATATTTATGGGGAGAGATTTTAGAGTGGAGAGGGGACAGATGCTTTAACCTTTAACCTCATACATATATAAGTTGTTTTTTTTTTTACAAAAAAACCTTTCATTATAATAAAATATTAAAAATTAATTACAGGCTGGTTATTTTACATATACAATGCAACATTAATAAAAATCCACCTGGGATTTATTTTTACTTACTAACATAATTTTAAGACATATTTTATTTTAAATAAAACAGTTAAAAATATATAAGGAAAGTATTTAAAATGATAATAAAGAAGGGGACTATGCTTTTTTTGAGTTAAAGAAAAAATGACATGATTAACTTAGATTTATCAAATTCATATATACATAAAATAAAGAAGTAAATAAATTACTTATTGTATTGCTGATCAAGAATAAATATACACATAGAGCAGAATGTATAACCCCAAAATAAACTATAATTTTTATGAAACTTATGAAATTAAATAAAAATCAGCGAGAAAATACCAGTTTATCCCATAAATAGTTTGGAAATCATTTGTTATTTATTGTAGAATAATTCAGCTGGAGAAAAAAATTCATACTAAATAAAATAAAATTCCTTCTGAATCAAAAAGATAAATGTAAATCAAATTACAAGAAAATACCTAAATTATATAACTAATTATCTATCTGAAATCTGTATGCAGATGGAGTTTTTAAGAACATTTAGGTGAAAAAGTAGCAATAAATATTAAGTAAGGGAGAAAGAGAAAACTACCAAAATAGACTAGAAACAAGGCAAATAAATAAGACTTAGAAAAACAGGGGTAAATATTAAGGTAACCACAAAGGAAGCTAACAATCCTACACAACAAAATGAAAAACATAAAGACTCAGCAAATATGAAATCAACAACAATGAAAAAGATGAAAAGAAAATACATAAACAAAAGTGACTCAGCACAGAAAATTAAGTGGAACAAAGAAACTGTCAACAACACACAAAAAAAGAAATCAAAATGACAGCACTAAACTCATACCTATCAACAATTACGCTGCATGTAAATGGACTAAATGCACCAATAAAGAGATGGAGAATGGCAGAATGGATAAAACAACATGATCTGTCTATATGCTGCCTACAAGAGACACACCTTAGACTTAAAAAGACACAAACAAACTAAAACTCAAAGGAAGAAAAAAATATATCAAGCAAACAACACTCAGAAAACAGCAGGAGTGGTAATATTAATCTCTGACAAAATAGACTTTAAAGTAAAATCCACCACAAAGGGTAAGGAAGGACACTATATAATGATTAAAGGGTCAATACACCATAATAAAAATTATAATAAATATTTACCTACCCAATGACAGGGCTCCAAAATACATAAAAACAAACTCTAACAGCACTGAAAAGAGAGACAGACAGCTACACAATAGTAGTAGCAGACTTCAAAACACCACTTTCGGTGAAGGAGAAAACATCCAGAAAGAAGCTCAACAAAGATACGGAAGAGCTAAATGCTACAATCAATCAACTTGATATCATAGACATATACGGAACAGTCTACTCAACAGCAGCCAAGTATACTTTCTTTTCCAATGCACATGGAACGTTCTCCACAATAGACCACATATTAGGCCATAAAGCAAGCCTTAACAGAATCCAAAGCATTGAAATATTACAAAGCATCTTTTCTGACCATAAAGCCATAAAAGCAGAAATCAATAACAGAAAAAGCAGCGGAAAAGAATCAAACACATGGAAACTGAACAACACCTTGCTCAAAGACTACTGGGTTCTGGAAGTAATTAAGGATGGAATAAAGCAATTCATAGAAGAAAATGAAAACACATCCTACCAGAAACTTTGGGACAAAACAAAAGCAGTGCTCAGAGGTCAGTTTATAGCAATGAATGCA